CTCCTGAAGTAACACAAACAATGCCGTAACAAATCGGCTCTGAAGTAAAGTACATTAGTGAGCAAGGTCGGCCCCAAACCCTATACAATAAGGTTTAGGGCCAAGGTCCATAAAAAAACCCTATACATAGTGTTTAGGGCCAAGGAACATTATACAATAGGGTTTAGGGCTGATTTTAAATTTTAAAGTGGGAAATAAACACAAAGAGTATTATGTTCGAATGTTGTGGGATTCTATGGGCGGGTGGGTTGATATCTGAAAGATTCTTAACCAGAAACATCAAAGTCAGAACTGCTGAACCCTAAACCCTAAACCTTAAACCCCAAGCCCCTAACCCTAAACCCTAAAGTGCGAACTCTAACCCACAACCCAAAACCCCACACCGACAGGCAGTGCTTGTACCCACACGAACGCATTCACACGCACAAACACACACAAGGAAACAAACACATGCGCGCACGCACGCCCACACTGTGAGAGCCGCCCCCCATCTCTCTTTCAATCTCCGTCTCTCCCTATATCTTTCTTTGTCTGAATTCATGCAATGCCTTGTAATGCCTTGTGCTCGGCTCATCCGCGCTTGGAGTTCGAACTCATGTTGGCTGACCCAGCAGAATTTTCAAGCAAAGAGGTCCTGCATGATATACACCACGACCTGAAGCCCCAAAACTGGCACAGCGAGTCCTGGTTCAGAACCACCTCAATCAAGGTCGTCTCGTTGCGCTTCATCTGACCCTCGATGGCAGAGGTCAAGGCCTGGTGGACTCGAGATTGTTCGGGGCGAGGCTCATTGTCAAAGATACTTAGGGTCTCCTGGACCTCACAAGGCCTACCTCTTCAGGACTTTTGGAAAGGAATCAGCATTAGGATCCTTCAAAACGCAAGTTCTTGAGGGTCCAGGCATCGTGTACAGGATCTCACACCTAAATCTTAAAAACCTGAACCCTATAATATACAAGAAAACAGCGAAAACCTAATAAGATACAACTACATGATATGATACAAAATGTATGATGTATGATAGATGATTAATGACAAATGATTTATGCTATATGATATACGGTATATGGTATGGTATGATATGGCATGATGACTGATTTGATATGCGGTATGATATCATATATATATATATATAAATATGTAGTATACACATTAATATAATACATTATATGACGTACCATGACATAATATAAAACGTTGAAACATAACAGAAAGGTCTACAGCTGCAAATGGCACTTCGGGCCCCGCAGCCCGCGTTGAGAGTTCAGGAAATGCGGTTATTGAGCCTCACAACAATAAAGGGGATTTAGGGTTTAGGGTTTAGGAGCCTCACAACAGTAAAGGGGCTTGCAATAATAAAGTTTACCATCACCATCATTATCATGATAGCCATAATCAAACAGACAATAATAGCGATAACTATATATATATATATAAATCATAACAATACTGATAACAATAAGAACCTCATAGCAATAGTAATAACAACAATAATAGCCATAATAAGTTCATAGTAGTAAGGTTAACTAGCAGCTTACACGACGTCGTAGCAACATCCTACACTTCAGGAGCTACGATATTTGGGCGCTCCAGTCTTTGCGTTACGGCGGGTCTAATATAGGGGTCTTAAAGTAGAGCAGGGTTTTGCAGGCATAGCTTTTTTAAAGCAACCCCTTAAACTTAAGGAACACCGTCGGTAATCACTTAGGGCCCTTTCGGATTACTAGAGTTACACAGGTCGAATACAGGGATATCGTGTTCTCAGGCCCAAGCCCTGAAATCTTACACCCTTAGAGCTAAACCCTGAAACCGCTGCGACTGGGCAGATTTGCATGCGGGGTTCGATTTTGTTTTGCTGGACTCACGACAAACCCACCACAACCCCAAACCCAACGCCCCGAACCCTGAACTTTGAAACTTAAGCCCTATACAATCGGAACCCCAAGCGCTGAACCCTCAAACTAGGGCCCTAAATGCGACAGCCGTCAACTGGGGAGCTGAAAAGCAGCTAGCTTTCAATGACCTTCACTACGTTTGAACCCTAGCCCCCTAAACCCTAAACCCACGTTGGACCTTTAAAGCCCCAGGAACGAGTCGCAAAACAAGGTCCGCTCAAGGCCGATAAGGGTTTAGGGTTTAGGGGCTTAGGGTTTAGGGCATAACATGTCCCACAGGCTTATCTAGTTCAACTTGTTAAGGCCAAAAGCCGGAAGGCTTTACAAAGTACTGTGGGCTTTACGGCTCAGGGTTGAGGAACACACAACCCAAGGGACAAGTTCAGGAAAACTCAGACAACACTTGCATCAAGAGGGAAGGCACCCGACAATATCTCCCCAAACCCATGCCCTCCTGACCCCCGTCATCATCTACGACAAAACCTCAAGTGAAGTTCGATGCCCTACATATAGACTTCAAGCCTCAAACAAACCTAAACAAGTGAAACACAAACCCGAAACGTCCCAAATCCGTAGCGCCCGAAATATCCAGAAAAGACCAGGCAGATCACGGGTTCGAAGTAAGACCTATAGAGTTTGGTCTCAACGCTCAATTAGGGTTCAAAACTCAGGGCTTAAGATTTGGGTTTAAGGCTTGGGGTTTTTAGGATTTTAGTTCTGCAATAATTACAGTCGACAGGCAGATGCCACGTAAGATCCTGGTTGAACGGGTGCTGGGTCCAGGACTTTTTAACAACAGGTCTCTGACAGGCCTTGTCAAGAGGCTCGAAACCGTGGCGGCCGAAGACATCCTGCGAGGGAAGACACACTGCGCTGATCGGATCTCAGTGAGGTACCCGTTTTTGAGCGACTTCAGCATTGGTGCCACCATTACGTCATATGCCGGCGATTCCAGACACAAATGGACTTGGCTAGCACAAGCAACGGCTACAGCCACACCTCTGCACGAATCGCAGGGATTACGATAGAGAGTGATCCTGAACGTTCTCTCTCCTGCACTTGGTTGCTCTATCATGATGATTGAACAAAATGAGAGTGTTGAAGCTCTGGTGGGCCAGTGGGTTGCGAGTTCTTGGCCTTTCGCGGATGCGCGACTCTGACCCGAGGATGCCATAGCACTCCTACCTTTACCAGGCATTCTGGCACATCATGGGTCCAACTGCATGGGCCGCTGTCTTATTGCGATGGAAATTCTCTGAACGTTCTGCCCTGAACTTTTGCTGCCATGCACTCGGAAAACGGTCAAATGGTCATGCAGATTCAATGGCATCCGGGCACATCAACTGGATTTGGTCCAGGGAGGCATAGAAACAGGGCTTGTTAGTTCTGTTTCCAGCATTTGTTCTCCAGCCACCTGCTGCAGCTGCGGCATCGGAGTACGACTATGTGCAGGCCTGGATTAGGAGTCCGATGAGATGTGTACCAACCGCACTGCAACAACTTGCCAGTTTGGTCATGACTTGTTCAACTTGTCTATGAGCGCGTGACACACAGCAAAAAGGGTGATAGAAGAGCCAGAAACCTTGGGTCGCAAGCAAAGGCACCAGTCGGGCATGAGTGGGGGTTTAGGGTTTAGGGAATCTGAAACCTTGAACCCTAAATCACAAACAGGCTTTTGTCGTTCCTCGGCCGAGCACCTCCAGTTTGGACATGGGGTCACGTAGACCTCCGGGCTGAAGGGCACAGAGTTTAGGACTCCAAGTTTAAGGCTTAGAGTTTTGTGGAGGTGATGCTTGCAGGGCCCTTTCAAGATCCCGTCATGGAGTTTCAGAAGGTGCTCTCAGTTTCTGCAGTTCTTGTCAAACGGGAACCACGGTTCCAGAATCCTCGCTTGTGCACCAACTAACCCCGGGTTTTTGCAAACCCCACACCTCTCAGAAGCTTCATCTGCTGCAGGGAGGAGGCTGACACATCCCGCATGAGAATGTCCAGGAGCCGAACTCCTGAGGGTTGAAAAGGATGGCTCTGTTGTGTTTGCAACAGCGGTATAGGGATTCTTGAGGATTCTTCAGAACGTAACTTGAGTTGTCATTACCAACAAAACATGTATTTCATCACAGAGCCCTCGACCCTAAACCCCAAAAATGAGACTCCTCACGGGTGACGACACCGGACTTGTCCACATCCTGAAGCAGGAGGCGGGGGAGTCAGACTGGAAGAAACTTTACATGATGGAGATGCAAGTTGCGATATGATATGAATGCCGGCAAAATTTCAAGCAGAACGACAAGGTAAATGTGTAAGCAACAGTGCAGTGTCGAAATAAAGCCAGGACCTTCACGGCAACAAGGGCCAGTAGTAAGGGTCACGGGTCCTTTCAGCCCCCCCCCCGATGACAACGAGATGCGCCGGCTTCAAGCTGCGAAACTCTCGACTTTGGTGGTCGAGGGGTTGCACGTTGCACCATGTGGCTGATGAGCTGCAGCTACATTTATTGCAGCACGGAATGTGCTTGCATGGAAGTCTGAGCAGTCATATGGCCTACTGTAGTCCTTCATAGTGCCATTGCCACTGCTTTGTATGGGAGCATCACTAGTGCTATCCATACATAGTCTCCAGCTTCCTTCTGTTAAGGCCATCAGATTGGAATGCAGGTTGGCTAAGGCTGTATTCTCGGCGAGCTGTCGGAATGCCAGGCCTCCAAGTCAGAGGGCTCAATCGCTCAACGGCGCTTAGCCGGTGGCGAAGCCTTCAAGAACACAGCCAGCTACAATCCATGCGCGATGATAGCAGAACACATCCGCGACATGATTGATTCTTGCAGCATCGCAGCCGAGCATGAAATGACTGGGAAGGGGAAGAGCCGCCACCGCAGGCACAGCATGGCCCATGGCTCTGAATTTGGCAAGGTGGCAAAGCCCAAAGGCTGCCACGAACAGAGGCTTGAAGTTTCATCGCAACTACATCCTGCGGAGGATCGCTGACGGCTGAAGATCTCTTTTCGACCAGCGGGCTGGCATCACGGTGAACATGCAGACATGTCTTTGGTCTGCTGACTTTGATGTCCACTGCCTGAGTGCTACGGAGAGCTTCCCCTCTGCTTCCTTTTCGTTTTCTGTTTCTTCACGGCCTCATCCGCGACCTTTCTGCCCTCTTTCTTGTCTCTCTTGAACCGCTCCAGTCTTTGCGGCATGTAGCGGTCGAAGCTGAGTTGCTCCGGGTTGTAGGCACCTGGCCCGGGTGACTGCATCCTGGATGCGCCCGATGCACGCCGCGGGTTAAATACCCATGCCGGTGTCCTGTTGTCGGGCCGAACCCAACTGGCTGTGTTGGCTCCATGGGCGCTGTCGGAGGCATGTCTAGTGGAGTTTGACGCAGGAGAAGCAAGCTGCAAAGAAGGTTGCTGGGTGGAAGCTGGGCTGTAGGGGTCCGACTGTGAAAGCGACTGATGATTCGTAGTGGTGCTGGGGAGTGTATGATGCGGTGGAACCTGGGTCGTTGGAGAGATGTAGAGGCAAATGGGGGCGCTGTGGGACCTTCGTAAAGTGGCATGCTGTGGTAAAGTGGCGTGCTGCGTGCCAGTGTCGATGTGTGACGTGTGGGAATCTGGGTGAGGCAAGTGTTTTGGCTTGATGCTGGGATCGGCTGGGCTGTTTGCACACTGTGAAGCTGTGGTGTGTGATGGGGGTGGATTGTCCGTCGTGACTGGGCTATCGAGGCCGCCATTGGAGGCAGGGTTGGGATGTTGCTGCTTTGCAGGTTGCAAACGCTGCTGTCCTTGGAATTGGCCACCCAACAAGAATCCAAGCCACCGACTTTTCGGGCTGAGCGTCTGTGGCTCAGGGGGCAGGGGTCTGTCCTGCGGGAGCCGTTTGGTCACTGTCACCACCCATGACTTTGGGACTAGCTGCACGCGTGGTCGGCTGGGCGCCGCAAGCACTGGTGGGCTCAGTGGGCTCCTTGGCCGACGGCAGCCAGGTCGATTTTCAGGTGGCTCCAGCCGGGTGAAGCTGAGAGCTGGGGGACTGGTCGGTCGTGGTGCATGCACATGTTGCCTGGCATTCAATGGTGCTGGGCATGGGAGATATTGGTCCTTTCTCTGTGCAACGTAGCACGGTGCATCCGCACTTGGGCGTGGCAATGGCGGAAGAATACTGGGTTCCTGGCACGGCTGGGTCTCTCTTCGCGAGAGACATGCCGCGGGCCATGCTGGCAGCTCTGGCACGAGCTCCACACGTGGCTCCACACGGGGCAAACTGTGCCAAGCCTGACTGGGGGTGCTTCGCGTGCTTGGCTTTGTACACTCGGTCCGCAACCTAACTTGGATTTGCAGGTGCTGCGTCTGCTTGCTGTGGAACGTGGCAAAGCTGGGAGCTGGCACGGGGGAAGGTGCAGAGGATATGCCATCTTGTGGGCTTGAATTCGACAGCAGATCCGGCAGATTTTCACTCGAATGCTGCTGGAGGAAGCTTGCAGGTGGCAGCAGCTTGGGTGCTGCCTGTGGCTCCCTTTGCTTCTTTCGCACAGTCGACTGTAGCTGGAGCGCTGTTGACTCTGGAACCAGCCACATCCTCGGAGTGACCCGACTGGCACCCTGGAAGTGAACCAGAACCACCAAGGGAGCACATGGCGATCTGGTACCAAGCCAGGGAAACGCGGGAGGATCGGGACTCCTTCGATGCCCTCCCTTTCTCTCTGGGGCCGCGGGGGGCCGCGGCTCGGGGGGAGGAGGAAAAGAAATGAAGGGGTGGATCGCTTCAAGAGCGGAGAAATTGCACACGGCGGCAGACATCAGAAGAATGGCGCCGATGATGGCCCCCAGAAGCCAATCTGGCCAAGGAGAGGATATAACAAGCTGTGTAGTGGTGGTGGTTGTGGCCGTCGTAGTGCTAGTTGAAGTGATTGTCACCGTGCTGCGAGTTCTGGATGTGCTAGTTGCCGAAGTGGTGCTGATAGTTTGTGTGAAAGATGTGCTGGATGTCAAAGTTAGCGTCGTGCTGCCGGTGCTGCTGGACGTTCGGCTGCTGGAGCTGCTGCTGGTTGAACTGGAGGTGGTTGACATGCTTGTGCTGGATGTCCCCGTGGTGGATGTCGCGGAGGTGGTACTGCTGCTGCTGGAACTGCTGCTAGTTTGCGAAATGCTGCTGGAGCTGGAGGTGTGACTAGTGCTGCTTCTGGAGCTCGAGGTGCTCGTCAGGGACGTGCTGGTGCTGCTGGTGGAGCTTGAGGTGCTGGACGCACTGGTGCTAGACGTCGCAGTTGTTGAGGTACTGCTGGCAGAGGTTGTGGAGCTTCTGCTGCTACTGCTGGAGCTGGTGCTCGTCCGCGAGATGCTGCTTGAAGTGGAGGTTTGGCTGCTTGAACTGGATGTGGAGCTTGCCGTATGCGTCGTCGAGGTCGTGGTGACCCAAAAAGACCAGAGGTCTCCACAAAGGCTTCCGTTGTATCCTCCATGGATATAGATGATGTGGTTGAGGTCGTCCCAAGCAGCGACGTGTGACCAGCGTCCCGACGGGCCTGCCTGCTCAGCAATCAGACTCCAGATGTTGCTCTCAGCATCGTATCTCCACAGGTCTCTTTTCAGGATGCCGTCGTTACCACCATGCAGCCAAAGCAGCCGACTCTCGACATCCCACACTGCTGCATGTCCTGACCTCGCCGTGGGGCCCCCGTCAGTTGCAATTTCTGCCCAGCTGAGCGTCGTTGCGTCCAGAGTCCACAAATCCCCCAGCAGCGAACTGTTATAGCCACCGTGCATCCACAGCACCTGGTTCGCCCCATCCCAAACGGCAATGTGGTGCGACCGTGCCGGTGGCGGCCCGCTTGGTGCCACGGGAGCCAGCTCCTGCCATCCGTGAGCCTGGTGATTGTAGCTCCACAAATCCGACAAGCGGTGAGTACCAGTCCAGCCACCATGCACCCAAAGAGATGCCGTGCTGGAAACCCAAACTGCAACATGTGCTTGCCTTCCACAGGGTCCAGCATCGTTGGATTCAAGTGTCCACAGCCCGGACTGAAACCTCCAGATGTCGCGAAACCACACCTTTGTTTGGCTGTTGTATCCGCCATGTACCCAAAGACTTTGGCCAGCAGGATCCCAGCCAGCAGCATGCGAAGATCGGGCTGCCGGAACTTCGGCCGTGATTGTCCTAGTCCATGTAGCAGACGCCAGGTCGAAGGCCCACAAGTCGCCTTCCAGGTTGCTTCCTGCATGGATCCGCAATACCTGCCTCGATTCGTCCCAAGCACCGATGTGTTCCGACCGTGCTGCCGGGCGGACAAGGCCAGCAGCATCTGTCAGGTCCGCCAATCGACCCCATTCACCTCGAACTCTCCAGCACCAGCATAAGAAAAGCAGCTGGGAGACAGCATATGTTGGCATGAATGATGATGTCAGCAAATCCTGAAAGCTAGAATGCAAGCTGCCTCTGAGTCGAATATAGCTAACAGGGAACTTGCGGCTTTAAGACTAAAGCTTTGTCCGACAACTCGTGCGATTGCAACTATCATCTTGATGTTCGCCATCACCAGTACCAGCTAGGAGTAGGCTTCAGATCACCAATCCTTGGGATGAGGTGATCCCCTTGGCCCCTAACATCGGCGGCACAAACATTCGGCTGTGCACGTAACATGTCAGAACAAACTGCCGATGGCATCACAGTGTTCAATTGGCCATTGGGCATGCTGACCCGAACAGCACGAGTCCTTATGATTTATCCTGAACTCTTCCAGCCAACTCGAATGCTTAAACACGCTAAGTGAACTGCTTTGGGCAATCCCTATTCTGACCCTCAACGTCAAAGAGCACGTTTTACCGAACGACTTCTGACTCTGTAGCAAAGGTATGGCCGGGGAATAGGCACGACGGCAAGAAACGTGCAACTGTGTAGCCGTGTAGGTGTATGCTACTTGTACTGAACCTGCCCCGCAGAACATAACATGTGCGGCCGAGATGAGGTGAGTCGACCAGAAAGGGAACATTCAGGCAAGTCTGACTGTACACATTTGCTCTTGGGCTCCTCCAACCGGACGCTTCTGATTAGGGGGCTACTTCCTTGTTGGTTGGTTTGATTCAACCGCGTTCGATATGTTGCAGACTCTGCTAACGGCCCGCCTTTCATGGTACGACTGTTCCAACCCTTCTTGGCAATGCTGCTGTCTTCTTCGTCTTTTGCATTCTTGACTACCGAGGCTTTGTGCTACAACCACACTGCTTCCCTGTCTCTACCACCTCCAGAAGGACCTACGACAATTAACCTACCATCAACACCACTCCCACTACTCTACTCCTAAGACTCATTCTCCTGCGACTCCTGCTCCTACTGCTACTGCCAGTGCTACTGCTACTGCTGGTACTGATACTAGTACTGGTACTGGTTCTCGTTCTCGTACTACTACTAACACGACGACTCCTCTGTTCCGCCCTACTGCAAGTCCAAGTTTACTACTACTAGCAATTCTCCGTCAAACACTGCTTGCTAAGCAATTTATGTGTTTAGGCCCAGGCAGCCAAAATGGTCAGTATGTAAAGTCATAGTTATACCTCAGCCGGGCATCAATGAGCTCAGTAATTGTCGACTCCTTGTCTCTTACTGTGTGTGTGATGTACTGAACACCATGCATGCCGGAATGCCGAAGATGTCTCTGCTACTTGTCATGCGGAAAGTCGGAAAGCATCTTGTCATGATTTCGCTGTCTGATGTCCTTACTACATTATTAAATCCTTCTCGCGCGAGCGTCTGTGATAGGTATGGTATCGGCTCAGAGTCTATGATCATTATTCCTCTGGCTCCATGCAATCGCTGCGATTGTCCTTTTGACGTGCTATCCGGCACAAATGCCCAGGTGAGCTTGACAGACAGCTTTGGCCTGTTCGAGGATTTCTGACGCCGCGGCTGGTCTTGCCGAATCGGCCGAAGTCCCAGCAAATGAGGGCAGTCGGAGGTTGTTCTACTACATGAAACCTTGATTGTAATTGCCCTCATCCTGCACATAGCTTCACAAGTGAAGAGGAACGACTTGTCATGCAAAGAAACTGCAACGTTAATCCAATGTGCCGGAATGCCAGAAGATGGATTGCGTAGAACAGGTTTCCAGGCTTTGGCGGGAACTCCCGCGACTCTCGGCTTTGGTAATGGATTTGTAGAGATCTTTGTAGGGCTCCATCCTGGCTCGCTTCTCTTGCCTCGTGTGCTGTGGCATATACCTCGCGTGTTGCGGAAGTCCCAGCTTGCCTCTACACGCCTCGACAAGCAAAGATGGACAGGTGCTTCTATATTGCCCAGGTGCATGTCGAAACTTACAGGCTCAGGGTCGTAGCTGCCTGGGCCCGGTGTGCAAGTGGTCCTTTTCGAAGCTGAACGGCCTTAGCATCACGGCCATGCATGTTCTGCGCTCATGGTTTGTCCAAAGCCCAAAGCCTCAAAGACCATACAACCTTCAAGACATGCCGTCACGACCTCAAAGGCCAATGAGAACAAGAGCAACATGTTGGAGACTGCCAGAAGCACAGCAACTAGCATGGAGCACACATGTTTGTAAGACCTGCCTCGCGGATCTGAGCGTGCCAGCGTAAGGCCACTGTCGACAGAGAGAGAGAGAGACGTATATATATATATATATATATATATACACACATACATACATACACATAATATAGATCGACTCGAGAGCTCGAGAGCTTGCACGAACAACGAGGGTAAATTAACACATGTTGATTTCGAGGTGCAACTGGCTCAGCTTTGCAGATAAACCTAGTAGTTGGTGCTGCGCTTATGTTTGGGTGTAGTGGTTCATGTACGTATTGGCTGGCCGTGGGTTGGGATGTTTTTTGCCTGCCATCCGCAAAATCAGAGCGAGGAAGCGAGGGAAAGGCTCAAACCATTCCGTGCCTTTGATGGTCAAGTCATGCTAGTGTCCACATTGGCACTCATGCTCACATGCCGAACTGCTATTGCTTGAGCTGGCCATATCGTTGTAAAACACGAGATTCACGAGATGACAAGATGACGATGACATGACCATGCCTTGGAATCATCCGATGATCTTGAGAAAACAGAAAGACTCATCTGGGCCAAGCTTCTGCCGTATCGCTGCGAAGGGTTCGCAGAGCGTGGGCGCTGTCGGAGGCCGGTCAGGAGGCATTCCGAGCGTGAGCCGGGTGACGGGGTAACGGGCTGCCTCAGAGGGAATTTCCAAAGTCAGATGGTTTGTCCGGGGATTCCCGCGACTATGATGTTCGGCATGGGGCTTTTCTAATCGACACAACCAATTTCAACAGCATCCAGGCTTCTGCCTACGATTCTATGCTTCTATGTCGAGATATATGACGATAGTGCTGATGGTGACGAATGAGAAATATGACCGTGATTGTTCCGATGATGATGGTTGGGGGCTTTGCCGCAATACCAATGTATCAATATCATTCAAGCTTCGGTGAGCGCGGCCTGGCAGGAGCCCTGCACGAAGCGCGAACACATCCTTCGGTTCCTTCAATTGCTTTGGGCTGCCGGGAGCCTCGTGCGCGGCTTTCAGGGCTCAGGGCCTGCGGATGCCTCAAAAGCGGAACGTCTGACAAAGGGCGGCTGCTTGCTAGCACCATGCTCGTACTGGGAACGAGCTGCACGCGTGGCTGGCTGCGGTGAACAGGAAACAGCCGCAGCGGTGGACTTGGAGTGCACTGAGGACATTTGGAAGGCGGCATTAGCCTCTGCATGCTGAGAGCGTGCGGACTGGGCCGTCCCTGCCGGAGCTTCCGCGGTGACAGTGGGGCTAGCGAGCGAAGCTTTTCTGGCCGCGCCCTGGATGACTGACGTATCGGCAGAAGTGTCTGGGGCAAGTGTAGGCCAAGGCCAAGCTCGGGTTCTTTCGGTGCTTGTAGCCGTCTCTGCGTCTGCGTCGTTGAAGGCCATCCCGGTGACTCTGGTACCAGCTGCGTACGAAGATGGCTACAAGCAGCTCGCCGGTCAAGCCGCTCTGGGTTGTCTGGTATGGCAGGGCGCTGCCTGAGCGGTCCGCTGGAAAGGGATTCTAACCTGGTGAAGCTGATGGCGGGTGCCGGCCATATCCTTTCTTGCGTTGCCGGATGCTTTGACATGTCTTCATGCTCCCGGCTTGAGATGTAATCGCTGGACCGTCGCCGGAAGCTCGCAAATTCCTGATCAGACTGCAGCGGCAGCAGTGGCGATGGCTGTGGCTCTCTGGTCTTCTGTGGCACGGCTTGTGGCGGAACCAACGCCACTGCCTGCGACTCTGGGAGTAGTCTCAGCCTCGGAATGATCGGCGAAGCTCCCTGGAAGTGGACCAGCACCACCAAAGGCGGGCAAGGCGATCTGCAACAAGGGGGTGCCGGGATCTGAGCCAACACAGGAGCTGGCGGTTGCTGTGCTTTCCTGTCCGGGTGTTTCTGAGGCTGCAAGTCGGGCAAGCACCCTCTGTCAGAAATGCCAGGAACTACCGCCACGAGAATGGAACCGTACTTGTAGAACATGAAAAGGGTACAGACGGTGCCAGATAGTAGCAAAGTTACAACGAGAGTTGTGACAAGAAGCCAATCCGGCCAAGGACTAGCGATGACAAGCTTGGTGGTGGTGGTAGTCGTGACCGTGGTTGCGCTGGAAGAGCTGGATGTGAGGGTGCTGAGGGTGCTGGATGTGCGCGTGGATGTTGTGCGTGTTAGTGATGTGCTGCTCGAAGTACTGGTGCCAGATGTGCTGCTAGTGGACGTTCGGCTGCTGGAGCTGCTGCTGGTTGAACTGGAGGTGGTTGACATGCTTGTGCTGGATGTCCCCGTGGTGGATGTCGCGGAGGTGGTACTGCTGCTGCTGGAACTGCTGCTAGTTTGCGAAATGCTGCTGGAGCTGGAGGTGTGACTAGTGCTGCTTCTGGAGCTCGAGGTGCTCGTCAGGGACGTGCTGGTACTGCTGGTGGAGCTTGAGGTGCTGGACGCACTGGTGCTAGACGTCGCAGTTGTTGAGGTACTGCTGGCAGAGGTTGTGGAGCTCCTGCTGCTACTGCTGGAGCTGGTGCTCGTCCGCGAGATGCTGCTTGAAGTGGAGGTTTGGCTGCTTGAACTGGATGTGGAGCTTGCCGTATGCGTCGTCGAGGTCGTGGTGACCCAAAAAGACCAGAGGTCTCCACAAAGGCTTCCGTTGTATCCTCCATGGATATAGATGACGTGGTTGAGGTCGTCCCAAGCGGCGACGTGTGACCAGCGTCCCCACGGGCCTGCCTGCTCAGCAATCAGACTCCAGATGTTGCTCTCAGCATCGTATCTCCACAGGTCTCTTGTCAGGATGCCGTCGTTACCACCGTGCAGCCAAAGCCCACGTGTTGAATCATCCCATGCTGCTGCATGGCCAGACCTCGCTGTCGGGCCCCCATGAAAAGTCAGCTTTCTCCAACTAAGAGTCAAGATATCCAGAGTCCAGAGATCTCCGAGCAAG